AAAAAAAAAAAAAAATAGAACCACAGCATGTGGTTGAGTGTTTAAATAAAAGTACTTATACCCATTTATAAGTGTTTCACAGTTTACACAGTATGTGCACACTCCTTATATAATCTTTTCTCATAACAAAGGAAACAATAGAATGTTAGCTCCTGAGGAGAATTTGGAGAACCCAGCCCACTCGGTTTTGCATCCTTAGGAGCAGATTTTATGTGTCCAAATGTAGATGTTTTTTAGAAGGTAGCACATTAATCTTTGTTCAGTCGTCTTTACCATATGTGAATGAGTTTATCAATTCCTGAGCGCAGATTTTTATGGGGGGAAGATGAAGAAGGAAGACGGTAAACCAGTTGCCATTGAGTTGATTCTGACTCATGGCTACCCCATGTGTTGCAGAGTATAACTGTGCTCTGTAGGGTTTTCAAGGCTGTGTCTTTTCTGAGGTGCCTCTGGGTGGGTGGATTTGAACCCCCAACCTTCCTGCTAGTGTTGTTTGGTACCATTGAGTCGATTTTTGACTCCTAGTGACCCCATGTGACAGAGTAGAACTACTACTCAGGGTTTTCTTGGCTGTAATCTTTAAGGAAGTAGATTGCCAGGTCTTTCTCCCATGGAACCACTGCGTGGGCTCGAACCGCCAACCTTTCAGTTAGCAGCTGAGCTCTTAACTATTGTCCTACCCCGAGACTCCTAGGTAGACAGTACCCATACCCATTGCCATTGAGTCGATTCCAACTCCTAGCAACCCTATAGGACAGAGTAGAACTGCCCCATAGGGTTTCCAAGGAGTGGCTGGTGGATTTGAACTGCTGACTTTTGGGTTAGCAGCCTGAGCTCTTACCCACTGTGCCACCAGGGCCCCAGGTAGACAGTAGAGGGAGTATTACCTAAGAGGAAAAGGGTAATGGAAAGAGAAGTGTAAAGACTCTAAAGACAAAAGTTTACCTACTTTTCCCCAGGTTCTTCCTCTAGCTGACTACCATTCCAATGCTTCTGCCCAATCCCGTCTCAAACAAGTGTTAACTGGTGCCCATCAATCAGCATTCCACCATGTTACTACTGTAGAAGTGAACACTTGAGTTTCTGGCTGATAAGAGCATCAATTTCTCAGCCAAAATGGCACACATCCTTGGCTCTGGGAAACAGTCCACTTCCCAGGAGAGTTATAGAGAGTTTCACCCCTCCCTGGTTACCAGAACATTGTTCCCATTTTCTCTTAGACACTCATCATTTGCAAGTTGTTTAGAGGTGCCAGTGAGTAGTCACTCGGTTGCTATAGCCAACAGGACCAAACACTGGCGTCCAGGCAGGAAGGTCAGAGATACTCTGCAGGACACATATGCATGCTGGAAGCAGTCAAGGCCGTCATGGACAGATGTGTAGGTTGTGTCCTATACAAGGATGCTCTGCCCTACACGTCCTTGAAATCCAGCCCACGCCTTGTTTGTCTAGCCATGTGTCCTGGCATGGGGCTGTGTCCACGTGGAGGAAAAGACAGTTTTTTTCTAATTTGCACAGCTTCTTTGTCAACTTGCCAAGCCCTGAGACTGCAGAGCTCCATGCACCAGAGAGGATGCCTTTTGCAAATCTGCAAAAAGCAACTGTGTGTGCTAGGGTGGGCCTGCCAGGGCTGGGGCCTTGGGGACTGCAGGCCTTACAGCCATGCCACTGCCCCTCTCAATATAGTGATGCTTCCGTGATTCAGGGATTCCAGTCCAACAAAAAGTCAGCCACCCTGGCGGTTTTTTTCTTTTTCTTTTTTAGTTCCTTGGTGATTCTGGGAAACTGTTGAGTAGAACAAAAGGAAAAAAAGCACAGAAAAAACATCCAAGTCTTAGTATTTATAAAATGGGCCTGCACAGGACTTATTTTCGTTATTTTTATTCCTAAAAATCTCATTTCCCACCCTGGCCTCACCATGAGCACTTGGCACTTCTCCCGTTGGTTGGAGACTATAGTCTAAGGAGTCGAAGTCTGTCCTGGCCTGGGCCCCACAGGCGCCAAGTCTGAGTCCATGTTTCTGGTATTCACTCTGTTCTTTGTCCAGGCAGTGCCCCCAGACTTCTATGCCCACCACTCTGACAGAGGCAAAACAAGGACACTTTTTATCTTGCCTCTCTTCTTTCTCCCTTGTGTATGGACTGCACTGCTTTCCCACTGGCAGGATGACTAATTCCTTTGTCATCTTCCTGCCCCATTCGGCCTGTCCAGCTGCTCTAATTGCCTCTGTTTGTGCAGCATGGATGGAGCTTTCGCTTTGCTTGTGTGAGACTAGTTTGCACTGGATTCCCTGAAGACCCAGGAAGATGAAAAGACGCCTGGGAAGACTAAGGACTGGTGGAAGACAAGGCTCTATCTAACTCTCCCAGGAGCCAAAAACAAAAATAGACTCGTTTCCCTAGTGGTGCAGTGGTTAAGAGCTCGGCTGCTATCCAAAACGTCGTCGGCAGTTTGAATCCACCAGCCGCTCCTTGGAAACCCTATGGGGCAATTCTACTCTGTTCTACAGGGTCACTATGAGTTTGAATCGACTAGGCAGTAACGGGTTTGTTGTTTTTTTTTTTTTTTTCCCGCCTATGCTGATTCTTAAGTTGCAAAAGAATTTAACATGATGCAGCTGTTGGAGTTTTTACACCCAACCCTAAGTAATGCTCCCCCTCCCCCCTCCCAGTGTCCCTTCCCCAACCCAATTTTGCTAGGGGAAGGAGCTGTCTCCTTGTGGAGAGGCAGGGAATACAAAGGTATTAATACTTCATCTCTCGCTTTGCAATTTTCCCACATCTAGAATTGTGTTCCACTAAGAGGATTCTGAGTTATTAAACTAAAATAGTAGCTTTAAGGGCATCCAGAGAAGAGATTAAACCAATGTCCAGGACTCACGTGAATAAGTATATTGAAAGGACTAGTTGGCTTGGAATGAAAGAGAAGAGTTAAGTTCCTTGTTTGGGTGGTGGTTCATTTACTCATTTATTCATTGCTTCATTCAGAATTTCTTCAAAAAGTCCTAAGACTTTAAAGCTAAGATATAGTTTCTATCCTAAAGGCTTGATCTAGGTAATAAAGGGTGGGACTGTCTATAAATATGTGAAAAATGATTACCATGGGGAAGAAAAAAGGGAAATAAATTAAGAAGTTTTTTTTTTTAGTTGTTGAATAAATGTTTATTTTTGTTCTTGAGAAAATCCATGAAAAAGATAATAACATGCCTACTAGAAAATAGGTCTTTCTTCCTTCCTCTCTTCCTTTCTTCCTTCCTCTCTTCCTTTCTTCCATTCTCTTTTTTTCTTTCATTATTTTAAATTTCTTGGGCAACTCAGGGAAGTAGATATTAAGAAGATCTAGCTTTAAAGGTTATAAATAATGGAATAAAATTAGGAAGCAGAACTTGAGAGGAATTTGTGGAAGGGAAAATTGGGGGAAGCAGAGAAAGTCCCTAAAATCTGAAGATTCCATGGTGTGCTCCTGTTCTGAATGGCCCCAGCTCCCTACTCCCTACTCCTTTCTTCAGCAACTGCCTGAAACCACTGAGTGGTAACTAGCACAGCTACCTCCTCTGGTGAGAAAAAAAGCAAACCAAACCAAGTCCATTGCCCTCGAGTCCATTCCGACTCATATAGTGACCCTGTAGGACAGACTAGAACTGCCCCGGAGGGTTTCCAAAGCTGTAGTCTTTATAGAAGCAGACTGCCACATCCTTCTCCCATGGAGCGGCTAGTGGGTTCAAACCGCTGACCTTTCAGTTAGCAGCCGAGCGCTTAACCACCGTGCCACCAGGGCTCTTCTGGTGAGAAAAGGGCCTTCAAAGGGCACACCCTGCATGGGAAGTCATGCCGAATTAGAACAAAGGCCCTTCACCGTGGGAGAGGACTCACAACTCCCCCTGAGTCCGTGCCCTGTTTTGTTTTTAGACTCACAGTTGATCAGATCCTTCTGCAAGACCTCTCACCCTGTTTCCCAAGCTCTGTTTTCCCTCAGCTGCCCGTCATCAGCTGCCCAAGAAGTCTCAGTCAGGCATAAACAGCCCCCTCCCTGCCTGTTATTTTTTTTATCGTTGCTCTAAAGAGAGCTTGTGGTGATGGGGGGAGGACGGGATTTCCAACAGAGTTTTGCAAAGAAACAAAGAAGGGGCCAGAGCAAGTCAAGGATGAAATTCCTGGAAGCTTCTGAATCGATAGAGGGATGGAGCTTCCATGAATCCTTAGGAAACGGGTGGGGGGTAGGATCTAAAAGTTGTTGTGACTGAAGGGAAATGAGTCAAGAGAAGAAATGCCCTGATTTAATTCTTGTGGATGAAGGAGAGGGACTGCCAGACCACAAAATAACACCCCAACCAACTAACCCTACTTTAAGCCGCTGAGAGCGAGATCACTGGGGAAAGACAAATGGAAACTGGGAACTGTGGATCCAGGAAGATCTGAGTCTAATGACCAAAAACCAGATGCCTCCTCGCCTTTCTGCAAATCTGCACTTTGTCAAGCCTGTCACAGTCTATAAAAAGAGGCAGACATTCCGATGGAGGGGTGGGATGGGGGAGGGCTGGCGTGGAGGGAGCCTTGCCTTTGTCGGTTGGACCAAGGGGAGGGCTGAGACATGGAAGTGGGCTCCTTTATAAGTGGAAGAGTGGAGGCAATCTGAGGTAAGCTAACTCTGTGATATGCTGGCAATAGAATCCCTACAGCTTCCTCTGAAAAAGTCAGAGAGAGGATGTTACTGTGGCTAGAGTAGTCAACCTAGGACAGGAATTCACTGCCAGGGAAACCAAGCCAGGGCGCTGTGGCAGCCAGGCTGCCAAGCAGTGCCTAAGATGGTCCCACCCTTCAGCACACAGATATCTCCGGGCGAAAGCATCTTCCAGACACTTGTTCTGGTATTGTCTGTTACGGGAGCTGATGCTGAAGGGACCCGACCATGGTAGAGTCTCAGGTTCTCGAATTTTGTCATATACTTTGAGTTCTCACATCATATGATTCAGCTTTTCTTCCCCCTCCTTCCTCTTCCAGAATTTAAGGGACGCTCTGAAGAAATGATGAGTAAAATGAAGCGAGAACTTGTGTGTCTATTTCTGCTTTCTGGCGTAGTCTTCACTTTGTCCAGACAGGTGAGGTGTCCGGGTTATCTCTATGTGCCCCGTCCCTTGAGGCTGCAGTACTTCCAGAAGCTCCACAGTATAATCGAGAGTCTGCACCTGAGCCCCAGGGGTGGACATGGTGTCAAAGAGTGAAAAGGCAAAGGGAGAGAGGATCAGTGTCCCTGCAGAATGCACAGATGCATAGCTGCTCTGTGTATAGGATACTCGGGATTCAGGAGCCCAGCAGCAGGAACACCAGGCACTTACCTGAGCAAACAGTTCCAGTCCACTGCCACTGATTGCCTTGTTTGGAGCTGCTTTTAAAGAATGTGTTTGAGTTCATCCATAAAGTATTAATAAAAGACAGTGTAAGCACTGTGAGCCGTAACATGAAGGTGAACTGCCCTCTTGCTGCTTATTATCTAGCTGGGAAGGAAGCTACATGAACTCTCTGAAAATGCTCAGCAGTAGGCCACGTGAGCGATACCTGAGCTGCAGGATTTTACAGAGGGGAGAGTCTGGAATGGCCGCATGGAGTAGACGGGGGTCTAGAACTCTGCTGTCCAGTATGGTAGCTACTAACTACATGTGGCTATTTAACTTTGGAATTAATTACAATTTGATAAAACTAAAAATTCATTTCCTCAGTCACGCTAGCCACACTGGAAGCGCTCAAGAGCCACATCTGACTAGCAGCAGCCACATTGGACGGCACAGATACAGACCATGTCTATCATGCAGGAAGTTCTTTTGGGAAGCCCTAGACTAGAAGGAGAGGAAAAATGAGAAAAAAGGCAAGAAATGGACATTCCACCGGGAGCCAGTTGCCTTAGGGACGAATTCAGGGCAGGTGATGTCTGATTGCAGGCTCATGGTGGTCTTCTAGTTTGGTCGCCTTTATTCCTGAGACATTGGCATTTGCTGATCCTCCCCCCACCCCTGGTTTCTTTGCAGGAAAGCCACGCCCGATTCAGAAGAGGAGCCAGATCTTACAGAGGTAAGATGAGGCTGAGGTGGAGGGGGCTGGGTGAGGCAGGAGGCAGGGTTGGGACTTCGGATGAGTGAAAGGTGCTTTAGGCTCTGTTGGGAGATTTATCTTCTACCCCTGACCTGTTTCCTTAAGCCATGTGAAGATGAAATTATGCAGGCTGGTTCTGCAAAGACGCCGTGTCATCCCCCCATCATTTATTTCTGTCCACTCAGTTAGCTGACGCCAGCTAGTTCTGGAAGGAACAGGAACACGTGTCCTCACAAGGAGTCAGACTGTCATGGAACCACAGAGCTGGCGGGACCTGTAAACTCTATAGGACAAAGTCCTTGTTACACAGATGAGAAAATGAAGCCCCGGAGAAAAGAAGCGGCTTGCTCAAGGCCACACAGTTACCACACAGCAGACTCAGGACAACGAGGCTCTCCTGGGTCCTCTGTGGTCTTTTCCTAGGTTGTAATCCCAATCCCACTGGAACCCACTCAGTGTCCCTGAACACATTAGCTTACATCTCTGTGTCTCCATGTTTTTCCATTGGTAAAACAGGATAACTAACCCGGATTAAGGAGCCCTGGTGGTGCAGTGGTTAAAGCACTCGGCTGCTAACTGAAAGGTTGGCCATTCAAACCCACCAGCTGCTCTGCGGGAGAAAGATGTGACAGTCTGCTTCCATAAAGATTATAGCCTTGGAAACCTTCTAGGGCAGTTCTACTCTGTCCTACAGGGTCGCTATGGGTTGGAATCAACTCAACAGCAACGAGTTTGGCTTTTTGTTTTAACCTGAGTTACCTCACAGAAATGGTGTGGAAAGAAAGAGGGAGTATCTCTCTATAAGTCCATGTCTACAGTTGACTCTAGCTTGTGTCTAGAAAGTTGAGGAACCATTCCCGTTAGGTTTCCAAGAAGAGGGGAAAAATAAAGAAAACCCTGAAAACAAAAACCAAAACAAATCAACCAACAAACAAAAAATAACTAACAACTGGGTTAAGTTCTTGACTCTGATTTGGAAAACTCTAGGCCCAGCTTCAGGTCCAAAGCTATCAACTTGGGGCTCTTATGCTCCCCACATCATGACCTGGTTCCTTTGAGTACGGAAGACTTTTCAACACCCTGTTGAAGTGGGACTTTCCTCAGAGTGAGCCTCTCCTTAACTCTTACTGCCTTAGTTGTTGAAGAGCACAGCATTTCCTACAAGGATATTCTGGTTCCAAGAGAATCTCAAAAGAAGCAAGAGTATTACTTGCAATGAGTATATATTACTTCCTTAATTAATTAAGGTTTTTTAAAGTTGGCATTCTGCTTTGTAGAAAGAGGGACAAGTAAAGGGAGTACCTCTACTATTTTCATTACATCAAAAATACTAATGGAAGTAGCACATTTTCTGCACAGACTAAAATGTCACTTTGAGGCCAGAAAGAAATCATTTCAATGTGGATCGACTTATGTGGATCAAAAACTGTGGTAGGCAGTTATATGCATATGTATATATATTTGATGAATTAAGAATGGAAAATTGGAGCATTATTTAATAAATGTACTTTAATAGGTAAATTCTTTCAAAACAGGGGCCCATCGGAGGTAAAACAATAAAAGGGGTCTTAGGTGGCAAAATATTGGGTATTTGTTGTCTATCAGCAGAGAGCAAGAAAGGGGTAAAGGATGGATTATACTGAAAGCACGAGAGGGATTCTCCTCAGTAGGGCCAGGCAGTGGCAAGTCATTATTTTGTGAGTTGTACTCTAAAGAGGCCAGCCTATCTTTTGTTATAGTAACCTGCAGAGATGAACAAACACAGATGACGTACCTGCAACATGAGTCGTGGCTGCGCCCAACGGTCAGAAGCAACCGCGTGGAGTACTGCTGGTGCAACAGCGGCAGGTCGCAGTGCCACTCCGTGCCTGTCAGAAGTACGTATCAGACTTTGCGCTGAGGCTTCGAACTCCTGGGGTCCAGTCTCAGGGGCTCAAACCTTGTCTTTCATGATCCTGAGCATAGTTAAAAGGAGATTCCAGACATGTTCTACATTAGGCAAAGGTGAAGCTGGCAGAGCAAAAAAAGGAGTGAGACTGTGTGACCTTAGGCAAATGCGTTCACTTGCTGAGCCTTGGTTTCCTCATCTGTGAAATGGGGAGAATAATAATACATACCTCACGGATTGCTGCAAGGGTTAAATAAGTCGATTTTTAAACATCGCTTAGAGTAGTGCCTGGCATATAGAAAACACGCCTAAAAATATAACTACTTAACTTACAAAAACATATGGTTTGCTGTGAGGATTAAATTAATTCACTTTTGTAAACCACTTTACAAAGGAGAATCGTACCTGACATATAGAAAGCACTTTTAAAACTTTAACAATTTTTAAAGCTGCTTTGAAACCACTTGCTGTTGCTAGCCACTGTCCTCAGCCTCCAAGTTGGGGGGACCCTGTGGAACAAATGCTGCCCTGTTAAGCAGCATAGCATGAAGCAAATCACCATTGACAGATGGGTGGTGGCTGAGCATAAGGTGCATTGGCTGGGAATTGAACCCAGGTTTCTGGCATGGAAGGCGAGAACTCCACCACTAAACCATCACTGACCCCTGAAAGTACTTAGAAGTTTCCTTATTTATGTTTGACAGGTTGCAGCGAACCAAGGTGTTTCAATGGGGGGACATGTCGGCAGGCTCTCTATTTCTCAGATTTTGTCTGCCAGTGCCCTGAAGGATTTACAGGGAAACGCTGTGAAATAGGTGAGTGGGTAGGTGGATAGGTGGGTGTGAGAGAGGGACTGAAATCCCAACACCCATATTTATCCAGAAAGGAGAAAAAGTACGGGGGTGGCAAGGGCAGTGGTGGGGGTGGGAACAGGAAAGGGTCATCCAAGGGTCAGTTAGGAAACCAAAGTGCTGGGCCTGACAGGCAGACCTTGGGTGCAGATGCAGAATCTGGCTCTGGCCCAGCCCGCTGGGTAACCCCAGCCACCTGATTTACTTTACGGGCTCCAGTTGCATCAGCAGCCAGCCTGCCTCATTGGTTTGCTGCAATGACAGCAGATGTGAGAGCCCTTTGAAAAGCTAAACGACTGAGGGATTCACACGCGGGCGGTCATGTGTCCTGCTTTAAACCAGACACCAAAGCCACATGCTACGAGGACCAGGGAGTCACCTACAGGGGCACATGGAGCACAGTGGAAAGCGGGGCTGAATGCATCAACTGGAACAGCAGCGCACTGGCCCTGAAGCCATACAATGGGCGGAGGCCGGGCGCTCTCAAGCTGGGCCTCGGGAACCACAACTACTGCAGGTGAGGGGGCCTCTTTCCTACCCAGTGGGTTCTTCTCAGGTGAGAAGCTGCTACACTTGGGGAAAAGGGCCTCGATGTGGGGTTCGAGGGGGGAGGCGTTACTTCTAACCTCCCCTGGCCCTGGCTGGCTGATTTTTCAGAAACCCAGACCGAGACTCTAAGCCCTGGTGCTACATCTTTAAGGCGGGGAAGTACACCTCCGAGTTTTGCAGCACGCCAACCTGTGACAACGGTAAGGGGCACCACCCCCAGGTCCCCCTGTAGCATCCCCCGGGGTAGAAGTGTCTGGGAGGACAAGCCTGACAGTCCTGTTGGAGCTGAGGAGAAAAAGAAGTGGGCAGGCGGTCAATCATGTTAGCTGTAAAAGCAAGAAAGTCAAGTGACTTAGGTCCTCGCCCAGGCTTGACCTCTAACTAGGTGTTTGACCTTGAGCTGATCTCTTTACCCCCTGACCCTCAGTTTTGTCCTCTATAGAGGAGAGGATGAGGCTGATCAGTGGTTTCCAATCCTCTTGAGAATGAATGAAGTCTCTCACTTTTTTTTGAGTGGGGAGAGGGGAGCCTATTCTCTTCTCTCTCTCTCTCCAAAGACTTTTGAATGTGAAAAAATTTCCCAGATTGAAAAAATACCAAGTTACAAAAAGGTACTATGAGTTCAGCAGTGCTTTTGCAAATAATTATATGTCATTTATCACAATGGTATGAAAAATATATATATATGAGCCCTGGTGGCACAATGGTTAAGTGCTTGGCTGCTAACTGAAAGGTCAGCTGTTCGAACCCACCAGCTGCTCCATGGGAGAAAAGACTTAGTGATCTACTTCCATAAAGATTATAGTCTACTATGCCTTTTAGGGTGACTATAAGTCAGAATCAACTCAGTGGCACACTACAACAGCAAACGTGTGTGTGTGTGTGTGTATGTACATATGTATATATACATATAACAAAAAAAACAAACTCATTGCTGTCAAGTCGGTTTCAACTCATAGCTACCCTATAGGACACAGTAGAACTGCCCCATAGGGTTTCCAAGGAGCAGCTGGTGGATTTGAACTGCCAACCTTTGGGTTAGCAGCCAGGCTCTTAACCACTGCACCACCAGGGCTCCTACATATATATATGTATACGTATGCATATCTTTATTACCTGTAGACTTAATGTATTTTTTAAAGATTTATATGTCTCTATATATGTGACCGTGTGTATTTATATATATGCATTAAGTCTACAGGTAATGCTGGTATACCTGTGAATTCAAGGACTCTACCATAATTCTAAAGCACCCTCTCCACCTCTCAGGATCTGGTCTAAATTGGGACTCACAGGTTTAGATTATTTATGCATAGTGGTATACTTTGTCGTTTCAAATGGGAAGAGGGAAAAGTAAGGCAAACAGGTAAAAACAGGCAACATTCTCAGGCTCACCCCCTCTCCCTTCCCAAGCTCATGGCACTCACTACTAATTGAACACAGCACCCTTTCCTGCTGAACCTGAATATACCTCAGAATCTCTGTCAACATAGCAATCTAGGAAGGCACATCTAATTGATGCAGGTTGGCATATGAGATGAAATCTATCTGCCATCCCTATGTGTCTTAGTTATCTGGTGCTGCTGTAACAGAAATACCACAAGTGAATGGCTTTAACAAACAGAAATTTATTCTCTCACAGTTTAGGGGGCTAGAAGTCTGAATTTAGGGCACCAGCTCCAGTGGGAAGGTTTCTCTCTCCGTCAGTTCTGGGAGAAGGTCCTTGTCATCAATCTTCCCTTGGTCTAGGAGTTTCTCAGCACAGGGACCCCGGGTCCAAAGGACCTGCTTCACTCGCTGCACTTCTTTCTTGGTATGAGGTCCCTCTTTCTCTGCTTGCTTCTCTCTCCTTTTATCTCTTGTAAGATAAAAGCCACACCCCAGGGGAACTCCCCTTACAGGGCTGTGACCTGAATAAGGGTGTTACATCCCACCATAATCCTCTTTAACATAGCCTAATATTGTCTCATTAACAGGCAGAGACTAGGATTTACAACACATAGGATAATCACAGCAAATCACAAAATGGAGGACAATCACACAATACTCAGAATCATGGCCTAGCCCAACTGACACATATTTTGGGGGGACACAATTCAATCCATGATGCTATGTAAGAGCGCTTGAAGAAAGAGAAAAAAGGGAAGTAGGTTGGTATCACACCCTTTTCAGTGCTAGGCTGGCCTTCAACTTCCCTGTCTAGCACCTCCAGGCCAGGCCCTGCTGAAAGCCATGACTGATCTGCTTGAGTGGTTTTGTTTCAGTTTAAGATTTCTTCTGTTCTAGGAGAAAACAAGGATTGCTACTTTGGAAAAGGGTTAGATTACCAGGGGACCCACAGCCTTACCACATCTGGTACCACCTGTCTCAAGTGGAATTCTATGATCCTGCTAGGCAAGATTTACACAGCATGGAAGAGCAATGCCCAGGCCCTGGGCCTGGGCAAACACAATTACTGCCGGTGCGTACTGCAGGGTCCGAAGGATTCATGGGCACATGTTGGGGGTAAGATGGGTTAGGAGAAAATCTGGTGCTTAAAGTTATGAAAGACTCACCAGGTTGGAAGAAACCATGGATATTATATAATCTAACCTTCATTTGCTAGAATGACACCTATTATGAAAAGTCAGGCATACCTGTTTCTCAGTGAGAATGCCCAGTTAGGGGTCTGGTCTCATAGCTACTTAGTTCTCATCTGCTCCATTCTGATGTAGTGCCTTTATTTCAATGAAATTTATAAGAGTTTCCTCATAGAACATCTCACAGTTGCTCTCAACATCCCTGTGAGATTGGACTTCTGTATTACTGACAGAAAATTGAAGTTAAAAGAAAGTTATTTTTCCTATGGTGGGAGTCTAAAATGGACCCAAGTCCAGAGCTCAGGGTCCTCTCTCCCAGGTCAATGTTTTTGCCATTGGTTTACTAAGCCTCCTTCCCCTCTCACATGGGCTGGGATGTGCTGGCTGGAAAAATGTAAGCTTCTGAAACTCTTATAAACTCCCTTATCATCTAGGAATCCAGATGGGGATGCCAAGCCCTGGTGCCACGTGCTGAAGGACCACGAGCTGACATGGGAATACTGTGACATGCCCCAGTGCTGTAAGGGCTGGCCCTTGGCTACTTTCCTTTGTCCAGTCTCACTTCTTGACCATTTCCTCTGCCACCTTTTGTGTCTTCACAGCTGTCTGGTTCAGACTATATAGCTGCCAGTCTCCAAGGAAAGCCAGGTCTTGATGGGGAGGGGGACTTCCATGACTCAAGCAATGGTAGGGCAGCAGCACTCTTGGGCAACATAGGGATGGTCAGGAGGGGGCAGAAAGAAAGAAAACACAGCCCATATCAATTTCTGTTGACAGCAGTCTTCACAAATAATTCAGTAGGCCCCCAACTTTTGTCTAGATTCCTTTATTAATGATGGTGGTGGTGGTCAATACGAGGAAGAAGATGATATCTCTCATATACCACTCCTTAGATAACAAAGTGCTTTCATAGCATTCTCCCAACAATCTGGTGAGAGTTAGTCTTTCTGTCTCCATTTTACTGATTAGGAAACCATCTCTCAGAATTCATGTGGCCTGCCCAAGTTCACTGGGCTCCCAAGTGGTAAAGTTGGGGTCTGATGCTATATCCTCTGTCTGTAAGGCTTTGTGCTTCTGCTGTGAACTCTTTCGCTTTTCTCACTGAACTTATTTCACACGAGGAAACTGGGTCAGTGATAGAGGATAGGAGACAGAGAAAATTCCAAATCTTTAGTTTGGAAATTGTGTGAGAATAGATTGAATTGTCTGAGAAAGGATTAAGTTCAGTTCCTGTGAACACACAGATCAGCCAGAATGTTCCTCAAGGAACATACAGTCTGACTGGGAAGATAAGACACAAACTCCGGGTTAACTCACAACCAAGGTCATCTATGGTGCGTCCTCAGTGAGAGGCATCAGTAAGTTTACTCAAAGCCTCCTGGGCTGGGGTGTTAAAAGAAAGCTTCGTGAGGAGGTAGGATTTCACCTGGGTCTTGAAGGATGGGGGAAGGTTGAGTAGATGGAAAAGAAATGGGGTAAACATTCCCCAGGAGGAAGTTGCAAAGGGTTTTGGTAGCCTGCTTCGTGATTTCTTAAGCTAGGAAGTGACAGCAGGAAAAACCATAGGCAGTGAAGCATAGCAGGAAGATCCCCAGCTTTGGAATCACACAGACCTGGGTTCAAATCCAGGTGCCATTGTGACCTTGGTCAAAAATTTCTCAGACTCTTTGAAGCTGAGTGTTGTGAAGGTTAAACATAACGTACATATACTGCTGGAGCCCTGGTGGTGAAGTGGTTAAAGAGCTTGGCTGCTAACCAGAAGATCAGCAGTTTGAATCTACCAGCTGCTCCTTGGAAACTCTCCGGGGCAGTTCTACCCTGTCGTTTAGGGTCACTATGAGTCAGAACTGACTCGACAGTAATGGGTTTGGTTTTTTTTGGTTTATGTATAGTGCTTGGCATGTAGTGTGTACTCAACAAGTGAGAACTGTGGATCTTTACCTTGGAGACTGTTACAGCACTCCGTAGAGTGTGGAAGCCTGTAGAAACTCAGGGTTCCAAGAGAAGAAACCAAGATGGGTGTCAAGGGCCTCATTTCAGGGACCAATGGTCTGATGTCCCTTCTCTGCCCTTACCTCTCCCAGCCGCCTGCGGCCTGAGACAGTACAAGCAGCCTCAGTTTCGCATTAAAGGAGGACTCTACACGGACATCACCTCTCATCCCTGGCAGGCGGCCATCTTTGCCAAGAACAGGAGGTCACCAGGAGAGAGGTTTCTGTGTGGGGGAACGCTGATCAATTCCTGCTGGGTCGTGTCTGCTGCCCACTGCTTCCAGGAGAGGTAAGGTTTTGGGAAACCCAATAGGTTTTTCTACCCACTAAGGCCTTGAAATCAGGTGTGTTCATTAGAGGAAATCTGATGCTCTGAGGCTGTCTCTCCATTAGGTTTCCTACCCACCACCTTAAGGTGGTCTTGGGCAGAACATACCGGTTGGTCTCTGGAGAGGAGGAGCAGAAATTTGAAGTTGAAAAATACGTTGTCCATAAGGAATTTGATGACAACACTTACAACAATGACATTGGTAAGATGTCAGGATTCTCTGTGCTCCAGTTCAGACCTCCCCAGATCACAACCCACACCCATACATGTGTACTCACACCCCCACAAAAGCACACACGCACTTCCTCCTTTCAAGCCCTCATCCTGCCTTATCTTCCTCACCTAAAATTAGAAGAAGCTCTTCACACAGGACTTATTCTCTGCCTCACTCTCCCTCCCAGCACTGCTGCAGCTGAAATCTGATTCATTACACTGTGCTCAGGAGAGCAACACAGTGCGCCCCGCCTGCCTCCCCGAGGCCGGCCTGCAGCTGCCTGACTGGACTGAATGTGAGCTTTCTGGCTACGGCAAGCACGAGGCGAGTAAGTGGAAGAAAGCCTTGGCCCCATACTGTCTGTCTGCAGGACAGCAGGAGGTGCAGTGGTTGGACCAGACAGAGGAAAAGTGGTTATGAGAGCTGGGTTCTAGCCCTGGTTCAGGCACTAACTCTGCGTAAACGTAGGCACGTTCACTGCCTCCTAGTATCGGAGAGAACACCCCATCCGCCTCACAAGGTCACTGTGCAGGTCAAGGAAGGTCTGGATGTTATGAGGCTTTGAAGTGCTTAAGACTTATTTTTTATTTATGTTTTCAATGAAGTACTTAAGATTTAAAGAAGGTTCTGTGTAAGTGTAGTATAGTGGTTAAAGGAGTCCCTAGGTGGTGCAAACAGTTAAGTGCTCGACTACTAACCAAAACTCGGTGGTTCGAACCCACTCAGAGGCACCCCGGAAGAAAGGCCTAGTGATCTGCTTCTGAAAGGTCACAGCCTTGAAAACCCTATGGGGCACAGTTCTACTCGGCTTACAAGGGGTCGCCATGAGTCAGAGTCAACTCGACAGCAACTGGCTTTACGGTGGTTAAGGGTATGGGTTCTTGGACTCTAAAGTTGTGCAGACCTGAAGTGAATCCTAGATCTGCATCTTGCTAGCTGTGGTCCCGGACATGGTGTTTTTTTCTTTTAAACTGCTTTCCTCATTGGTAAATTAAGGATAAAACTACCTACTTGATTAGATTATAAGGATTAGATAATAGTAGGTTAAACTAGTGGTTCTCAAGCAGGGGTGATTTTGCCCCCTAGGGGCATTTGGCAATGGGTTTGGGTTTTTTTGTTTGTTTGTTTGTTTGAGGACATTTTTGTTTGTCACAACTTGGGGTAGGGGTTGATATTGGGATCTGGTAGAGCCCAAGGATACTGCTAAACATCCTACAATGCACAGGACAGCCCCCCACAACAAAGAATTTTCTATTTCAAAATATCAGTGGTGCTGCTGTTGAGAAACCCTGGGTTAGATCCTGTAAAACTGTTGTTTTTATACATTAAAACAACCAGTATCGGCAATATCACAGTGTTGAACACATTATGTGTAAAACGCTTGATAAATGTTAGGTATTATTGGAAAATGTGGCTTCCTCCTTCCTTTCTCTAAAACCGTAAGACTTTCTTCCCCTCTCTTTCAGCTTCTCCTTTCTATTCTGAGCGCCTGAAGGAGGGTCATGTCCGACTATACCCATCCAGCCGCTGCACGTCAGAGCATATGTTCAATAAAACCATTACAAACAATATGTTGTGTGCTGGAGACACTCGCAGTGGGGGAAACGAAGCAAACGTGCATGACGCCTGCCAGGTACACAGGAGCGTCTCTCCAAGCTCTGGGCCCACCCAAGGGTAGAAATGTTTCTTGGTCAACAGGTTTTTAAGCAAGAATATATATAATCAGAATGGAGTGGTTTCATCTTGGTGAGGCCCCAGGGATTCTAGATGAAGTCCTCAGAGAATAAAGCAATGTGAGAAAGATCAAAATTACCCAAACTTAAGAAATCTAACCTGCAGGAAATTTCCCCAGTGTTTACACAGGAAACTCCACCTGGTACAGGATTTCCTGTAAGCCTAGGCAATTAATTGTTGAGGTGACGGATAAAGCAACATAAATTAAGAAATTCTTGATTTCCGTAGGTGCCAGAGGATTAGAGTTTGCTTTGTAGAAGGGGAAAGGAGAAAATGGAACTCCCTGGGAAGTAAGATAAAGATGAACTGAGAGAAATAATTTTTAAAATTCATATTCAGCCCTAATACCCTGGGAAAGCCAATTATTTCAGGTTCTCTGTGCTGGTATTCTTATCAGAGTTAGTACTTGTATTTCATGATAAGAAGATACGGGGATACTAGGGACAGACCAACCTCCTGGTATTAGGACCTAAAAATAGTCCAGGAACTGCAATTGAGCAGACATTTTGGTGCCTAGAGTCTGCCAGGCTCTCCTTTAGGGCCAGGGTTAGAGGAGAGCGCGTACAAAGAAAAGTACACCAGGGCTCCTGCACTCAAGACTTTGTAGGCTGTGTTCTTATTAGGTAATCATGTTGCATTTTTTTCTTAGCTCCTTAACATTATTTGGCCTCTTTCTGAATGGCCTCTTTAGAAACCTCAAGTGTACCACCTAATTCAACAGTCATAAAAATGTTGTATGCAAAGTAAAACCATTATCTGCAAACTTTCAACTTAAAAACAAAAACAAAAAATCATTTGGATTCAATAGTAACGGCTAACAATTACCAAAAGTTTTACTAGTCATAGATTATTCTCAGTGCTTTTCATGCATTCTCCCAGTTAATTCACATACCAACCTAATTCACATAATTCACACAACAAGTACTTATAATCCAAGCACTGTTAGCTTAAGGCCCCATAATGAGTAAGTGGTAAAGTTCAAACCAGGGATCCTTGAGGCCTGAAATGTCTGAGGAATTATCTCAATTCTGTTTCACTTTACATGTGTAGATACAACCTAATTCTCTAGAGGATCAAGATAATTGATGTAAAAATTTCTGTCTCTGAACTAAGTACTTTGAAGAATACAATATTAACCTTGTAAATTGTAACCCTAACTTCTTCCAAATGTTCTGCAGTTTTTGCTTACAATGAACCTGTTCTTTCTTTTGCAGGGTGATTCAGGAGGCCCTTTGGTGTGTATGAAGGACAACCGCATGACTTTGGTTGGCATCATCAGTTGGGGCCTTGGCTGTGGGCAGAAAGACGTTCCAGGTGTATATACCAAGGTTACTAATTACATAGACTGGATTCAAGACAATATGCGGCCATGACCAGGGAAACCCAACTCTGAAATCAGCTGGTATCCTGCCTTCTTCTTCAGAAGACACACGGCAAAGATGGAGTGATTCTTTATGAAGATTTCTCCATAAACCATCACACAGTAGAAGCTGGAGAACTGGCAAGACAGGAAAGAGTATATCATTTCACAGGTACTTCCCATTTTGGAAGTGTTCAGGGGTCACGGTCTGGTTTCAGAATGTATTTGCCAGATGGGAAGACAGATAAATGAATGCCAGCTCCTCCAGAAATACCACCATCTGGAGTAGAAAGAGATGTAGAACAAAAACCCAACCTCTTTAATCTGTCAACATGAGCAGCTTTGGAAATGGGGCCACCAAGATAAAAGCATGTCTCAATAATGAAGAATAGCTAGATTCTTCAAGAAAGAAGAATTGCATTAGAAATAGAATGTGTATATATAATATATACATAGTCACTAGAAAGCCTAACAGGGCCTCCAAATAAGGGATGGCTGGCCAGCCAGACTGGGGTGTGTTTCTCCAGGAAACTTTCGGATCTCCACCATCTTTTGAATCAAGTATTCGTCCCCCTTTCTCTACTCCACAACTCTCGTAAGGTATTCCTTACTTTTGTGTATGGTGTAAATCTTTTTTCTTTATAAACTTTACAATAGAACAGGAGAATTGTATCATTTTAATAATCGATAAATGAGGCTTTAGATAACTATCAATCCATTTTAGTTTTTATTTTCTGTTGCCACAATCTTGTACTATACTGTAGTAAAATAATAAATTTTTTTAAATAAATATATTTTTCACATTTGTTTTTTCCAAATTAGAGTGGGATGGGTTTGTTACACACACAATATCCCACAACCTTGTTTACTGATGTTATTCATGTTTACATTTTCAATCATCTGACATACTTCCATTTCAACACTTAATGAATACTTGCTGCATGCAAAACAATGTGCTACATGCTGTGGACAGTAAAAAGAGAGGAGAGGAGTTCTTGGTTTCACAAGGAAATAAGATATTTAGAGAAATAACAAGGTAGAAAGTGAGATGAGTCACAAAATGGCAGAGAAACTTTTACTGGAATTCAGTTGCAGGAGGGATTAAGAGAATCTTATGGAGAAAATAGAATTTAAAGAGGGCTTTCAAAAATTGGGTGAGATTTGAACTGGTGGAAGGGTGGAAGAAATCACTGCGTGAAAATATAAATACCTGGAGACCAAAAAGACAACAGAAGTATGGGGAGGAATGAGTAGTATAATTTGCCTTAAATTCATTAAAAAGGAATGTAGGTTGGAATTTAGAATGCCAAACTGAGTTTGGACTTAATTCTGAGGGCAACATGGAGCCATTGAGATTTTAATTTAGGGAAGTCTCGAGTTGAGCGTGACATTGGAAAATTAACTGGTGACCTATAAAACAGATTGGAGAGAGACTAGCCTAGGTAGAAATGCTGCTTGGGCAGCAACTGCAGTAGTACAAAGCAGAAATAAGAGGGTAAGGAAGAAGAACCTAAGAAGGACCTTGCTAACAGCAACATCCCAATTGCCGCTTTAGACTAGATATATTTGGGCCATTTTTTTCCCACTCTATTTTGCTTTTCTGTTTATCAGATAATTAACTCCCACACCAGTCAGTCCACACAAGTATGTTACTTAAATAATGATGCTTTCTGCTTCTCTCAGATTTTCCTACTACTCTCAGATGCAACCCAACCTCCTGGGTGCTGCCTAACTGGTTTTGATATCACTGACACCCCAGATCCAAGAATAAATTTGTTGATGCAATGCTTGTTGTTGGGTATATGCTGACAGGGTTTCTTAGAAAGGGGAAAAGGTGGCCATACTTGTCCCTATCTCTTGAGGTATTGTCAGAATTGTTCAGTTAAGAGGTTCCTGGAAGAAAGTAGTTTAAACTCACAAAAGAAAGAGATGTTCTAAAGCCTAAGAACTTGATTCAGAAATTAATAAACACTCTCCTGAAATGCTAAAGTTGTTAAGTCCCTAGGCCAATTAAATATAGGCACGTTACAGAACCTCAACTCAGATTTTTTTGGCTTCGGACTACTAGTTTCTAAGATCCCCCGTGTGAGTGGCAGATTTTATTTCAGACAGATGTGTTTCTCAGCCATCTCAGAAAAACATTGCTCTGAGTACAGCAACAGGCAAGAATCCCCGCTACTACATCTCTGGCAGGAATTCCGTCTGCCTCACCCCCTCCCCCTTGCATGACAAGCTTTCCCTCAGACAGTGGAGTTAATGAAATGAACTGAAGCAGTAAGGCCTCCTGGGACAGAAATGCAAAGTTAAAAGACCCCAGCATTCCTCTGAGTGGCATCCTGGAAACCACAGACTGGATAAAGACAATCCCTCAGAGGTCACTGACTGAGTTACAGGGCAGAGTCCCGGCCCTGGAATTCATTTGAATTATACTGAAATATACTCAAAGAACAACGCATCGTTACCCAGTGTGGGCTAGGAAATTCAGGATACAATATCCAGAACTTGTCAGGGCAAAGGAAAGGATATAAGGGGAAATTAAACATTATTTCCTCATTCTCTCCAGCTAGTTAATAGAATAACTAGATGCTAACAGATCCAAAGAACAAGAAAGATTTCCACGTAACTGTACAGTTAGTTTTAATGGGTAAAGAGCTAGAAAGACTCACATGATTGAAACTACTGTCTTTCTAGAACTCCAATCATAAGTGCTTGTCAAAAAGTGTCATGAACTTTGGCTGCACATTCAGCTTCAAAAGTGAAAGAATTATATAATTCCCAGTACTTAGGATCTTGAAGGAAGTTTGTAAGAGTTTCAAACTAAATTTCCTTTTAAAAAAACTCTTTTAACAATTACAAAATAAAAATTAGCCTCGTTGTTGGCATTGAGTCACCACCTACTGGCCATAGAGGAAAGTACAAATATTGTAGTGAACTTTCCTGGTCAGCCACAATGGTATCCAGACCAAGGGAAAAGAGATAATTAACAAGGACTAAGACAGATAAGAGTTCCCAGGTGGTACAAATAGTTAACACATTTAGCTGCTAATGAAAAGGTCGGCAGTTCAAGTCCACCCAGAGGCACCTGGAAAAAAGTTCTGGCAATCTACGTCTGAAAAATCAGCCATTGTAAACCCTATGGAGCACAGTTCTACTCGTGACACACAGCTGACTTGACAGCAACTGGGGGAAAAATAGAAAGCTAAGATGGAGTATTAATAAGAACTAAACACTTGTGGTTAGTAAACTGAAGTCCTAAAGTCTCTTCATGGCCAAGAATGGTTTAGTGAAGAAAATTAGTACAGATATGATAATAATCAGCGTCTACACTACCCACACCCCCAATGACCTATGTTTCAAGAAATCTCTACTTCGATAAATGTCTAGTACCTTAAAGCCATTTCACACCTGAATTAATCAACTGAGAAGCAGTACAAGAGAATGGGGAAAGCACTAGAACAGACATCAGCAGCTTTAATGTCTTTGTCTTTACAGCCCAGAAAAAACTCATTTGATCCAGACCTTACTTCTCAAAACCTTAAAATGGAATTAATACCACTACCCCCATCTTCCAGGGATGACTAGAGAATCAATCAAAATATATACGACTTGAGGACTCCTGGTTGAAGAGTACAAATGTAGTAAAATCCTCCTGAGCTAATAAATTAACTGCTTCTACTATGGCATGCATGACCATATTATTGCTGGCCTCTAATAAGAAAACACGACATAGAGGGCTGGTAAAACTCAACTTTATTAAGATTCAAACACAGAAGCTACTTCTGCACGTTACACAAATGAAGCTGAATAGCTGTATTGAGACAACCCTGCACTACTTATGCTAATGGACACACCACTGAGTGGCAGCAATGACGCTTCCTTGTGCTCCAGAGCTCTGCTGTGCAGGTGATGTCATAGTTATTTCATTGGTTTAGGCCTGGAGGTCCCATACTCCAGACACTTTATTTCTACTCAGGTACTTAGGATGAGTTACCCTGTAGGAAATAAAACAGCTGGACTTACAAACCTAAAACTATTCGTGGACCAAGACTGGTTGTTTCCTGTGATCTTGGAAACCTTAAAATCCTCAGAGCCCTCAGAAGTGATTCAAGTATTCTGGAATCCACAGGCGGAAACGTTCCCCCTACTATGGTAGGTGTGTGTACATAGGCCACAATCATCCCGGATAAATTTTGGAGTGAGGGAATATGAAACATCTGGTTGTATGCAGCACAGTTTATCCCACGGGAAAACCACAAAGTAACATTACTCTGCAGCAAAAACAAGTCTGGCAAGTAGGAAGATAAGACTAGAAGCCGATTTGCACAAGTGCTTGGAAACAGGGCTTTAGAGAAAAGTTTGGACGTTCGGAGAGTACATGTCTTCATTTTTTTCCATGCACAAAGCAGAGGATATTTCTTATGCTAAAGTAAAACAAAACAAAACCCTTTTACATAAATATTTAAATGAATAATAGATACATTGAACTAAAATAGAAATGACACGTTGGGAAGCCTGAGGTATCCCTTCAGTTGCCATGTTTCTTGGTTACACGTGATCAACATGGCCCATCTCCCTACTGCACTAATTTCATTCAAAGATTTGGAAGATTCTTTTTTTTTTTGGTCTTAAAACAAAAACAAACTGGCAGATATCTATTGTTAAGGATATATTATAGAGTACAAAACAAACAATTACAAGGAAATAACTTTCTGAGCAGCTTCAAGGATCAGCCATGCCCTTGGTGGTAAGCATTCTTTCTACCTATGGCTACTGATGGAAAAGTTTCCGACAGGAAGACTTAGGATCCAGTACTAGTGCAGCACTCATAAATATAAATAAGAAACCATTCAGTTACAGCTGTGGTCCACATCACTAGGGAATAAGTTGGCCATGTGTACTCCACAATGACATACAAAATCTGGCTGCACTGGGGGTTATGGAATTGGTTTTTTCTGAAACTTTTTTTTTTTCAAGAAAATCCTGCAGAAGGATCAGGTAACAGGAAAAAGGCTGGTGAATTCTGGAAGTAAAGCAAATAAAATTATTTGGGGTTGGGAAAAAGGCATTCCAGGCAACCACCACAAGGAAGACGGCAGGTCACCTTCTCACTGAAGATGACAGACTATGCTAAAGGCAAGCAACATTTAGTATCTGAAAGCCAGTCAGATATTGTCTTCAAGGGTAAGTCTGACTCTACTGGGGTTTTCCATGTCAATAGTGGATTCAAATTTAAGAAGTATCCAGTTCATTTCTAGAAGTACAAATGTTTTTTATAGATGAGAGTAGAAGGATCAGAAAGAAACCCACTCAACTCTATTCCATCCAACCCTCCTAAATGTGGAGTGCCATGGCTCTTGTCAATCTTTCACTTCAGTGTATCTCCTCACAAATCTTCTGTAATACTGCTTCCTCTCATAAATCAGATCTTTAATTGGCCCTCCTTTGACTAACATTCATCTTTCTTCCAAATAATCTTTCTTTCCACCTTTAAAAAACAACAACAAAGAAGCCTTTCATTGGCTTTAGATAATTAAAGCCAAGCAAGCAACAAATGCTAGTCTTTCTCTATGCTAACCATGTGAAAAATAGTTAAATATAGCGCCAAGTATCTCTACCCTCTGTTGTATACCTCTTCTTTGAGAACCAAGTTGGTGTTGATTGTGTTTCAGTTCCGTCCAGTTCTCCCTGGTGACCCTTTATCTCCTTGATTAGTTCCATGGCACCGAAGGCTAAGGAAAATAGGCAGCAGGTGGGCCCAGGAGGGGACTGACTAGGAGATAGGCTGGTTTTTTCACTTTTAGACAAGTAAGAAATGAGAAAGTGTTCGTGACTGTTCCCTCTGTAAAACTGTCCCTTCAGGTTCGAACTTGGAATTTTCCAGCTTTGGTCATGTATTTTATGCCCTTGAAGGGTTTGTACTTTTCTCCATACATATCCAGACGATTCACTTTGAGTCCTGAAATGAAGAAAGGAAGGATAAGACGTGAATATTATTCAAAAGAAACAGGTAGAATAATTGTTCAAATTCATTTCAATTCTAAGAGATCAGTGGGATAGAGACTGCTGTTAAAATGAACCAGAAAAATACCTTCATTTATATCATTTTTATGAAGCTAGCATATTCTTCACTCTTAGTACATACACTGATAGTAAAGAATTACTCCAACAAAAAGCTGTTCTATTGTAAACTTTCACCTACAGCACAATAAAATTTTTAGAAAAAAGCTATCCTATTAGAAAGCCTGTTCCTGACATGGAAAGGGCAGAAAGTTAAATGCAGACTGAAGTGCAGTTAAGGCAAAAATAAGACCACTGAATGTTTTTCTCAAGTTATTGGATGGAATAAATGAAGTAATAATAATGATTAAATTAATAATAACTGCATGGATTGAATTGTTGTTGTTGTTAGGTGCCGTTGAGTGGGTTCTGACTCATAGTGACCCTACGTACAACAGGATGAAACACTGCACGGGCCCACGCCAATCTCACAATCGTTATGTTTGAGCCCACTGTTGCAGCCATTGTGTCAATCTCTCTCATTGAAGGTCTTCCTCTTTTTCGATGACCCTCTACTTTACTAAGCATGATGTCCCTCCAGGGACCGACCCCTTCTGATAACATGTCTCCAAAGTGAGATGAAGTCTCGCCATCCTCGCTTCTAAGGAGCATTCTCACTGTACTTCCTCCAAGATAGATTTGTTCGTTCTTCTGGCAGTCCATGGTATATTCCATATTCCTTGCTTGGGTCAGGCACACCTTAGCCCTCAAAGTGACATCTTTGGTTTTTAACACTTTAAAGAAGTCTTTTGCAGCAGATGTGCCCAATGCAATATGTCGTTTGATTTCTTAACTGCTGCTTCCATGGGCGTTGATTGTGGATCCAAGTAAAATGAAATTCTTGACAACTTCAGTACTTTCTCTGTTTATCATGATGCTGCTTATTGGTCTAGTTGTGAGGACTGGACTGAATTGTATCCCTCAAAAAAGATATGGTGAAGTCCAAACCCTCGGTGCCTGTGAACACGACCTTGTTAGGAAACAGGGTCTCTGAAGATGTTATCAGTTAAGTTAGCATGAGGTCATACTGGAGTGGTTTGGGTCCTAATCCAATCTGAGTGATGTCCTTATAAAAGAGAAGAAGAGACAGAGAAAGATTCACAAAGGAAGGATGGCTGTGTGAAGATCATCTACAAGCCAAGAAATGCCTGGGACTACCAGAAACTGGGAAAGACAAGAAAGGATCTCCCCCTAGAGACTCTGGAGGGAACATGGCCCACCTGACACGTTGATTTGGACTCCTAACCTGCAGAACTATGAGATAAGAAATTTCTGTTTTTATAAGCCACTCAGTGGTATTTTTGTTACAGCAGCCCTAGAAAACTAATACAATAACAAATTGATAAATGAATAATGAAATAATAAATTATGATTGCATGAATAACAAAAAAAGTAATGAGTAAATGAATGCTTCCTAAGTATTCTCACTGTACTAAGAAAAAATATTTTATATTATATAGAGCTTTATAGTTTATTAAAGGAGCCCTGGTAGCACAGTGGTTGAGTGCTCAGCTGCTAACCGAAAGGTCCACCAGCCGCTCTGCGGGAGAAAGATGTGGCAGTCTGCTTCCGTTGGAAACTCTATAGGGCAGTTCTACTCTGTCCTATAGCATCGCTATGAGTCGGAATCAACTCGATGGCAATGAGTTTGATGGTTTGGTTACAGTTCATTAAGCGCTTGAAGATGAAAGAGCTTGTAATTTAAACAAATTCTAATCATTTAAATTAGATAAGGTATATTGGTAAAGACAAATAGGAGCATCATATAAAGCTGAAGTTATCTCCTATCTACCTCACAGGATTGTTGTGAGGATTGAACAATACGTGAAAAGAGCTTAAAACAGTATGTGGCACATAGAAAATTCTCAATAAGTGAAAATAATTATTACTATTGTCCTAAGGTAGGTCCAGGCTATAGTAGATTGTCACAGATAACTCCAACAGCCCCAATACGATAATAAAGGCAAACATGAGAGTTTTCTGAAATTGGAGGAAAGGAAGGAAAATTATTCTAAGTTACTAGTCAGAATACAGAAGCATCCCCATGCTGAAAACCTTGGGAACCTCAAATTAATAATCCCAGGATGAGCCAACAATGGTCTGTGAACACTTTTGTCTACCAATATTGTTTCTTTCTCATTTGTGTCCTGGTCACTTTTATTCAGGCCATTTAGGCGAACTTCAAAGTAAGGATGGTAAACTTTCCCTAGAAAATGTGTTGAGAAAGACTTTACTAAAGATTGCACATTGGGTATTGAAACCAAGGGACACCCTCAATGAGACAGACTGACACAACTGGTACAACAGTGGACTCAAGCATACCAATGATCATGAAGATGGCACAGGACCAGGCAACAGTTTGTTCTATTACCACGAATCAGAGCTGACTTAACAGCAACTAACAACAACAATAAAAACAAGTCTTTGCAAATAGGGAGCCACTAGAAGGCTTTCTGATGTCTGTGCCATATGGGAGAAAGCCATCACCATCATCCTCTACTCAGAATCGCCTGGGCTGTGGGTCACTTACCAGAAATAGCCAGCTGCTGGATCTTAAACTGCAGGTTAATTGTGGGGTTCTCATCTGGCTTGGAAGCTCCAGCCTGAAGACTCATGGTCCCCTTCAAACTTGGTAGCTTCTGGGGATTTATTTTTCCTACATCCCAAGACAGCATCTTCAAACAAAAAAAAAGGAGAAGTGGTCTTTCCAATACCACAATTGGAATCCTTCATTTGAAGTGGTTGAGCCCTAGCCTTAAGGGCATCTGTTCACAATATTATACACTGTCTCTAGGGCATTTTTCAATACGGAAAACTATCTGTTACCATGTCATCTCAAAGGAGTCAATGATGTCCCTTTGATTGAGCTCCCCTTTCAATCAAGGTATAAAGTCTATGTGGAGAGCTCCTGCAGAGGTACTCTATTCAACATCAGCAATTCAAAACGTCCTGCTTCTTCCCCCTACCTTTGTAACTGGGTCAAATGTGTGCGTCCCCTGAGACGGAGTGAGGCTCATATTCAGGACCCCTTTGGGCATCTGGCTGGTGACAATCACTCCCTCTATGGCCTTCCCCATAGTTTGTTTCGGTCCCACTGTTATTTCAAAGCGTCCAAGTGAACTACTGTCCCGGAAACTGATGTTATGTTTGACATACACTGGAATTGCAACCAGACTGGAAGAGAGAGAAACAAAAAGCCCATTTCATTAATGTACCAGAAAAATGGCAATATTTCCCCCTTTTACATCAGGTTTTTCTCCCCCCTTGGCAGCCTTTTCTCCCTTATCTACCTCCTTACTCTTTATCTTAAATAATAAGTTAAAAAAAAAAAAATAAACACACAACAAAAAGCCAGTGATCTTTTTTCTTTCTGCAAAGCTAAGATGTTGTCTAGTGAGTAAATCAACTCTTCCAGTGACTCTGAATAAAATCCACAAAATCAAAGAGTATACTGAAGTTACTATGAGAAAGGCACTATGAACAAAAATGAGGAGTCACTGTATTTCTATGCAGTAATTAATTTATACGTGACGAATAAATTACCTGTACTTGGGAGAGTTATACATCATAGACTTTTTATATTTGTTGAGAGTGCTTTTACCTGACCTCACCTGATCCTCACAAAAACCCTGTGATGTAGGGTAGGTTGTCATGATTTGACAGATGAGGAAATAGAGAAGTCAGAGAATACTACTAAAGTAATAACAATTCCTAATATCTACTGAAAACTTCCTGTATGCCAGTAACTATGCTAAATGCTTTATATCTATTATCTCATTTAATCCTCATAATAATCGTGAAACAGGTACTACTATTGTCCCATTTAATAGATGAATACTGAGGTTAAGTAACTTGCCCAAGTTCATGTATTATACACTGAAGTTGGGGTTTAAGTCCCAGCAGTCTGATTCCAGAGCCTTTGCTCTCAAGCACTTGGGTATTTTTCTAAATTATTTATTCCAAATCACACAGGAAGGTCGTTCTGAAGTTTCCTGGCTCTTACAGGACTGCAGACTTTCTATTCTACAATACTGCTTCCAAAAGCCCTTAGATCTCCAAATTACAGAGAATATTCAAGGCCAAAAATTACTGCATTTTATGGGTTTTCACAGCATAATTTAATGCCTCATTTGGGTCAGGAGGGATTAAATACAGGTGTGCTGAGATTTTTATTTGAGGAAAAAAATGTTCTCGTTTAGACATATAATAAAAAAAAGAGCAGCAAACTTATGTGCACTTACTTTGTGATAAGCACTATTTAGATTCTTTTATTTAATCCATGCAACAAGGTACTTTTATTATTTTCAATTTCTACATAACAACACAGGCACAGAGAGGTTAAGCTGCTCATCTGAGGATACCAATTAGTAAGTATGGAAGCTGGAACATGAATCCAGGTAGTCTAACTCTGGAGCCTGAGCTCTTACCCATTAGAGGATATTGTTTCCACACACACGTATAATACACAGATTCTGTTCTTAACTATAAGGGCTGCTTACTTCTGTGCACTGACATGGTAAGAGAGCAGGCGAAAGTTTCCATCAGGAGGGATGAAAGAGAGGATACGTTCAGATTCCCAGCGCTTGAAACGAACACAGGGATGGAAGCTGACGTCATCCAGCAACCTGGGGTTCTACAATTACCGGCAAGGAGAACAAAGAAATAGGAATTAAACACTTATACTTCTTTCAGGAAAGTAATTTGGGTGCTGTTTTTATTAAAACATACACACATTCCGCAGTTACAGAAAGTTCTCTCTCTCTCTCTCTCACACACACACACATACACACACACAAATTCTTCAGTTATTTATAGAAAATTCAAGCCTGATATAAGCTTTGTGGCTGTCCTTAATCATTTCTTTTGTTTCATTCCATCCTCAGCACTCTGTCTTTCCAGAAACATTTAATTTCCCATCCCCAAAACTAAATCTCTGGCCTAGGACTTTACCATGAAGGAAAGCGTAAGGTCTGGCATCCCAGTCAGCTTGACACATGCATCAATCACCCCCTGAATCTCAGCAGTAATTGTGGAACCTGAGACAGGAAACAAGACAAACAGACGGTAGACATTATTGAACACTTCTCTGCCCTTCCCAACTAACTTATTTCCTCCCTTCTTCCCTCTCTCGTTCCTTCTTCTCTTTCTTCCCAACTTCCTTCCTTCCGAATTAACTTATTTCCTTTCTTCTTCCTTTCTTCCTTCCTTCTGTCTATCCTTTCATCTAGTCCATCCATCTGTCTATCCTTCCAAGCACTTATCAGCTGCATATCAAGTATGAGACACTATGATGAAGTAATGGGGATAAAAAGATTAATGAGATAGTTATTAACCTAAAGGAGTTTTCAATCTAGCACCAGAATCAAACAGAACACCATTATCTTAACCAACAGTTCAGGAAATCTCTTCTCATAACTGCTCTCCCTGATGTCATCAATGAGATTTGCTACTGAACTGAATGGAGACTTTTGATCTTCATCCTATAGGACTTCTCTGTAGCATTTTCCGTTGTCGACCACTTCTCCTGACCTCGCCTAGTCTTCCTCCTATTTTTCTAGCTCCTCTTCTTTGGTGTCCTCCACAGGTTTCTCTTTCCTTTGCACATCTCTTAAATGTCTATGCTTTTTCACAGTTCTGACTTCTCTTTTCACTCTACACACTTTCCCTGGGTTATTTTACCTGCTTCCTAATGCTTCAACTTTCAATTATGGCAATTCCTTTCCTAATCTTATTTCCAGTTCAGCCTTATCCCTGCCTAATGGACTTCTATCTCCACTTAGATGTTACTGCAAAGTCCACATGCCAAAAAGCGAATTCATTCTCTTACTTCCTGGGCCTTCTCCTCCTGTTTTCTACATCACCATGATGATACCAGGAGCCCTGGTGGTACAGTGGTTAAAGCGCTCAGCTGCTAACCAAAGGTCAGCAGTTCAAACCCACCAGCCACTCCGCAGGAGAAAGATGTGGCAGTCAGCTTCCATAAAGATTTATAGTCTTGGAAAGCCTACGGGTAGTTCTACTCTGTCCTACAGGGTTACTGTAAGTCGGAATCAACTTGACTGCAGTGGGTGGTATGACAACACTGTCCTGTTGTCTATAACCTACCAACACAGAAGAAACAACTACTACTTCCCTAGTCCCCATATCCAATTATCAATTCCTCTTTTTTTTTTTAATGGCATTATCTCTCAAACCTATCTATTCCTCTCCAGCCTCACTACCAGACAGACATCTGTATTTTCTGCCTGGATTTCAGCAACAGTCTCCTAACTGCTTTCCCTGCCTTTAGTCTTACCCCTCTTCAAGCCACTGTTCACACTACAGCCAGAATGATAGCTCTACACTGCAAGTCTAATCAAGATACTCCTCAAGGTAAAGCTTTTCAATCACTCCCAACTGCCCTCCGCAAAATGGCATACAAAGCTTTTCATGATCTGGCCATCTAGGGTTTTTATTTGTATTTTATTTTACTTTTTCATTGGGGTAAAGCTTAGAGTAAAATGCAAAAATCTTAAGTGTACATAGAGTAAAATGCAAAAATCGTAAGTGTACAGCTCAATGAATTTTTAAATATTATACACGTATGTGAATATCACCCACATCAAGTTGTGGAATCTTTTCAGCATCCCAGCATGCTCCCTTTGCCTCGTCCCAGTTAATCCACCTCCATAAAAGGTAACCACAACTCTGATTTCTATTATCTTAGATTAGGCCATGTCTGTTTTCAAACTTCATATAAATATATTCACTGTATATAATATTTCGCATCTGAATTTTTTTTGCTCAACATGGTGAGATTCATCCATGTTGTTGGGTTTATTAGTAGTACATTCTTTTTTTTATTACTGCATAGTATGTCATTGTATGAACATATCAACATTTATTTATCCCTTCTATTGTTGATGAACATGTGGGTTATTTCCAGCTTTAGGGACTATGAAAAGCTGCTATGCCTACTTAGTTTGCAAGTCTCATCGCTTACGTTTCTCTCTTTATGTCTCTCAATCCAGTCATACCAAACTACTTTATTTCCCAACAACATTTCATTCATCTTGGAGTGTTTGCTCCTACTTTAACCCCAAAATCCATGTAGCTCTTAATAAGTTCTATTTATTCTACTGATGAAGCATAACCACTACCACTTCTCCGTATCTTCGCTCAGGATGGGTGGGGCACCTCTCTCATGTCTCCACCTTTTTACCTGTTTCTCTCCCTCACTAGACTTTAAGTAAGCTTCCTGTGGCCATAGACTGTATCTTATTCATCATCAGATGGCCAATATCCAGCACTATGCTACAACACAGCAGACTTTCAATAAGTATGTTGAATGAATGAGTTCCCTAATGTGAAGAAATCATCTACAAATTCCTAATCTATAGAATTTATAGTCATAGTCACCTAATTCAGAATAGATAGAAAAGAAAGCTCCCTGAATTTTAATAATTGCAACTTTAGTTCTGCCATCTGAATTAGGGGTAAAATACTTTCAGAAAGGAAATCTAATCAACAAGTGACTTTTGTTGTTTGTTACTTTTCTGCTTCAGTCAAGAGAATAAGATCAATAAAACAAGTATGACACAAACACTGGTCTGCATCGTAATATTAAAATCTATTCCCAGTGCCTAGCACAGTAGCTGACACTGACTAGGTACTAAATTAAAATAAATGATCTTGAATGGGAGAGAATTCTGATACTAGCAAACATTACATGAAAGGAGCCTCTATTTTCATAGCTCTAAGAATAGATTAATAGCACATACCTGATTTATCAATGATGGCATCAATTTCTTCAATCACATCAAAATAGGCTTCATTGTTGGTATATTTCACCCCAGTCCGTCGCCAAGGCACCACTGACAGTTGCCCAGTGGGAAGTTGGTCACCCACATTGGTGCTTCCTGAGACAATTAATATTACTGTACTTTAATTCCAATTCGATTCTAATAACCATAGAACACTTCCCTAGAAGCTTCTAGGCTCCATGCACTCAACTGAAGAAATTTGCAAACGGAAGATCAGAATTTTCTCAGCTTCCATACAGGGTAACCTAGTCTATTTATATACATAACATAAAACCCCTTGTCGCCATCCAGTCTGTCTCCACAAGCAGGATAAAGGCTTAAAAAAAAGTTACCTGAGAAACAGATATCATATTTTGGTTTTCAAAGTAACCTGAACTTAGTCTCTCGAATTTCACAATAGCTTGCGGGTTAAACAATGTATTGGCTTTTAGTAGGGATGGTAATCTACATATTGATATAAAATTTTCACGGGTAAAAACAGTATTCTAGTTCAAGATGGATTCTTAGGTAAATTGTGCTAGATATTAAAATGTGTCCATCAATGTGACTTTTCTCATACCATACTGAAACTTAGGAAAAGAATACAAATTTAATCTTTCCCTGTCCATGAGAGTTGTTGAGAAATTTCTTGACTTGTTTTTCCTCCACAGACATACAAATATTTTTTAAAAATTTGAAAGTTCTATACTGAAATTCTGGGATATTATAATTAACTTAAATTCGATCCCCACTTTCCATTTCCTGGATATTTTTACTCTAAAGGAAGAAATATTAAACACACACACATATTCAGCACACAGTAGTTCCCAGATATCTTTTATTGAAGTGAGATACAGGTTCAAATGACTCCAAAATATTCATAAATGATTCAGGCACTAACAAAGCTTTTAAGGCTTCAAGTTGAGCAAGAATATTTAAAAAGCCACCAAATTAATTTTCTTAAAAATGAGGTGCAATGTATTAAAATGTACCATCAAGCTACAACAATTAAAGCAGCATGTTCACAGTGCAGGAAAACCAACAAACAGACCAAGAATTACGATGACTTAGTATAAGATAAGAATATCATTTAAAACAAGGAGAAAGAATAAATTAGTCAATAAATGGCACTAGGAAATCTGATTAATAATTTTGGAGAAATAAACATAGACCTTACCTTATATTGTGTACCAAGATAATTTCCAGATGAGTTAAAAATTTAAACCTAACACAAAACCATAAAAGAACTAGACGAAAATACAGTTTTTAAAAAGAAGCCTTTTTTTTTTCTTGAAGATCAAAAAGACATTCTCCTATATTTTATTCTAATTGTAAAGTCTTGTGTTTAATTCCTTAATCCAGCTGGAATTTATTTTGTGTATGGTATAAGCGAGGGATTTAACTTAATTTTTTCCATATTGAAGCCAACTCTCCCAATCCATTTATCTACTGGCCCTTGATTTATGACCACATTTATGATACACCAAATTCCTATAAAAGCAAACGTCTGTTTCTAGACTTTCTGTTTTATTTCAGTGATCTATTTGTCTATTCCTGGGCCAACACTATACTTTTAAAATTACTAAAACTTCACAATATATCTTGTATCTGCTAGTGTATATTTTCTCTTTTTTTTTTTAAATTTTATTCATTTTCAAAACTCTCGGTTCTGATAACGTTATCTAATCTATGAATTTTTATCTAGTCTACTATATGAACTTAATATGTCTTGATATTTAACAGGGAAAGTTCTTCCTATCCTTTTGTAATTATTTTTCAAAACTGTCCTGGCTATTGCTGAATATTTAAGGAGACTTGGTGGTACAGTGATTAAGTGCTCCGCTGCTAACCGAAAAGTTGCCAGTTCGAACCCACCAGCTGCTCTACAGGAGAAAGATGCGGCAGTCTGCTTCTGTAAAGATTAACAGCCTCAGAAACCCTATGGGGCAGCTCTACTCTGTCCTATAGATTGCTATTGGTAGGAATCAACTTGACAGCAAAGGGATACGGGTACCTTGAATATTTATACTTTTTAATGTATTTTACAATAAGTTTGTCAAGTTCCATGAAAAGTCTTGTTTATGTTTAAGACCCAAAACGTAAAACTCTAAATGGAAGAGAATGATCAATTTGACTAAATAGAAAAAAAAATTAGAATGTGGCTAAACAACACCATAAGCAATGTTAAATAAGTGATAGATTGTAAAAAAATATTTGCAACAAAAGATATGTTTAAAATATATATTTTGATTCAAAAGATTCAAAATCTATAAATACTCCTACAAACTACCATGTATATTTCCAATATATATGATAGTTCCAATATACATGATAGTTTAATATTCTTAAATGAAAGGAATTCTTTTAAATCAGTATGAAAAAAGAAAAACATCTTAACAGAAAAATGGGCAAAGGACAAGAAAAAATAATTCATGAGAGGAAAAACAGCCGTTAAACACTTGAAAGGTTTTAAACTTCTTAGTAATAAAAAATGAGTGTGGAAATAACAGGATACAGTAGTCCCCCGTTATCCACAGGGATAAGTTCCAAGACCTCCAGTGGATGCCTGAAACCTCAGATAGTAATGAACCCTATATATGCTATGCTTTTTCCTATACATACATACCTATGATAAAGTTTAATTTATAAATTAAACACAGTAAGAGATTAACAACAATAGCTAATAATAAAATAGAACAATTATTAATAAAATAAGGGTTACCTGAACACAAGCACCGTGACACCGATCTGATAACTGAAATAGCTACTAAGTGACTAACAGGCATATACAGTGTGGATATGCTGGACTAAGGGATGATTCACGTCCCAGGCGGGATCCAGTGGGAAGGTGCAAGATTTCATCACACTACTCAGAACAGTACACGATTTAAAATTTATGAATTGTTTGTTTCTGGGATTTTCTATTTACTATTTTTAGACTGTGGTTGACACCACGGGTAACTGAAACGGCAGAAAGCAGAACTGCAGATAACGAGGGGGCAGGAGGGAGACTAGTGCAGTGGTTAAGCCTTCGGCAGTTCAAATCCACCATCCGATCCTTGGAAACCCTGTGGGGCAGTTCTACTCTGTTCTATACGGTCACTATAAGTCAGAATTGACTTGACAGCAATGGGTTTGGGGTTTTTTTTTAATCAAATGGCCAAAGTTAAAAAAAATTAATAATAATAATAGGGTTGGCTAGAGTGCATAGAAATTGCTACTGAGAGTATAAATTGGTACAACTTTTCTGGAGGGCAAACTGGCATACCCTTTGGCTCAGCACTTCCGTTTCCAGAAAGGTACTGAATGGAAATCACCCTAGATGTGGTTACAAAACATAAGTAAGAGAATGTTGATCCCTTGTTATTTAAAAAGAATAAAAGATCAGAAACATCATAAACAGGAATTGAGTAAATAACTTAGGGTCTATTCCACATGGTAGAAAACTACAGTCATTAAAAATGATAAAGAATATTTATCATTATGGGATAATGTTCACAAAATATTGATAAGTGGTAAGTTTAAAATAGTATACAAGACTTTTTTTTATAAATTCTATCTATCCATCATTCATCCATCTACATTAATCATGTATTTCTTCTGTAACAGAACAAACAGCAACAACAATTTATTTTTAAAGGAGAACACTTCTTTCTGTCATTGAAATGAGGGTATTTTCTATGTAACAAAATATTTCATGTCATACTCAAAAAGCAAAATTAAGGCACCCAGACATTTGAGATTCCCTAAGACACGTGCTCAAAACAACACATAATACCAGACTAAGCCACACCTAGGATGGCAGCAACAGTGGCAGCGGCTTTCCATTGGTTTTCCCCCTTCTCCATACCTGTTATGGTGTTGACAACTGTCCGAAGGATAGTGGGAGGCTTTATCAGTTCTTTGAGGATGTTCGACTCAGTAGCCAATGGAAACCCATTGTCAAGCATCTCTTCCAATACCTCATAAACCACGACAACATTGTCTTTGATCACTGGCTCTGAACAGACTCCAAAATAATCCTGATGAAGATATAATATATACATTTATCACTCAGAGACTATAAGAAGTGAAAGAATATTCCTAGAGAATAAGGATCTGGTCCTGCCATGAGTTTTCATGTAGTGGTTTTGGGATACATTTCTACAAAAGAATGAAGCACAACCATAGTTCTCTCAGGCAGCCTAGTTTGGTAGAAAGAACACTGGACTAAGAGCTAGAAAGCCTGGTTCATAGTACTTGTGTTATTACTTTATAGAGGAAGTCATTTACCTTCTTTGGGCTAGTATCCTCAACTTGATAAAATATTATGCAGAAAAGAAAATTGAAGCTAGACTATTACATATGCTTATGAACTAGAAGTTCAAAGAAATACCCAAAATAACACTTACTGTGACAGAATTGTACATTAAAATCTTTTTAACCCTTACTGTTGTGCTATTCCTTAGCATTTATGCAGTGACTAAGAATTGAGGAAAAAAATAAAATAAAATGAAGAGATTGGGTTAGCACACCAGAAAATCTCTTTGGATCATCCCTACTCTAAGATCTAGGATTATAAGAACTCTTTGCCCTTTTATGAACAAAGGCCAAATTTAGATATCAAATTATCTGGGTTGTAGAAAAATCACTAGATTCCAAATCAGAGGACATGGATTAAAATTTTAATTGTCACCAGATTAAGTCATGTTAACTAATTTTGGTCTTGATTTCTCAATGGTACAATCAGGACAATATTATCGGACTTACAGGGATGTTGTAATAACTAAATACAATTGACGAGTGATAACGTGTGAAAGTGCTTTGTGAGCTATAAAGCCAGGGACGGATTACCCAATAAGCAAGGTAAGCATGTGCTTACAGCATCAACAAAACAGGGGCACCCACAGATGCCAAGCAGACAAGGCAAAAGGAAAAGTGAGTGCACAACAACGATCCAAGAAAGACTCCATTCATTTCCTTATTATGTATGGAAATAGACACTGTTTGACAGCTTAATTGTGATAAAATCATTGAAGAATTTTGAAGAGCAAATAATAGAAAGAAATGTTTTTAATTACAACATGTTAGAGATGAAAACTCTAAAAATAAAATCTGTTTTCTGGTACTAAATTTTCTTTTATGACATCTTTTCATTTGTTCATTTATAATTATAACATTTATTATGAAGCAAGCATCAAAACTGAAGAAGAGCTGTTGAAAGAAAAATTGGTGAAAGTGAATTTTTTGTTGTAGGAGATCGACAGAATTTTACATCTAAGTTCACTGACTAATTTTCTTTGTTGTAGAATATGTGGATTATTCTTTTTGTAGAAAATGTTGTATATAGTAAAAATCTTAGTACCCTGCACCCACTAAAAATGTTATAATCCAGCCCATCTCATTCTGCTAAAACGGTACATGCCGCTTTTGTGTCCAACTGCTAATATTACAGTCGCATTTAAAAAGAAGTTACATCACGGATAGCTGACACACACACACATATATGTATATATATAATAACTCACATATCCTGTTTGAACGTGTGAGTAAGCAGAAGAGGGTGCCCCACAGATTATCAGTGTTTAGGGCCCTCACATGCCTTAATCTGGCCCTGTGCAAAGCACTGTGCAACATGTAATGCATCATGACAATGATTTAGAAAAAAACCGCTTACAGTCATTCAGTGCACTCTCTAGCTATGCCAGCATGTCTTTTGCAGGATCTCTGAGAGATAGTCACGCAACCCTCCTTGAATTCATCCAATGAAGTGGTTTGAGAAAGCTCATTTTATTCACGGACAGCTCTGATTATTAGAAAGCTCTTTCTTTTACTAAACGGCAATTTGCCTCCTAGATTTGCCTTACAGAACAAGTTTACGTAACAATCCCTCAGTTATTTGAAGACAACTACAAGTTTTCACTTCACTTTTTTCTTCTCAGGGCTAAACTCCCAAGATCCTTCCATTGTTTGTGTTTTACTATCTTGCCATTTTTTTAATATGCTTCCGTTTTTTTCCAATATTCTCCTTAAATTATAACATCTGAAACTGAACAAAGACTCCGGATGTGATCTAAATTACATTGAATAATGACAATGATTAGAAAGAGTCCAATACCCAAGAGCACTTAGGAGTCAGGAATATGTTTATAAAAGAAAATGATTTCTTCTTAAAAAAAAATAAGGATTTAAGGAGTTTTCCACACATTTCCTTCCCAAGAGTGATTTTACTTTAAAAAATAAACAAAACGTCTCACTAGATTTTATAAAACAGGCCTAATATGAACTGAGCAGTTGGAAAGGCAAGTATGATAAAATACTATAGCAAAAGTGCGTGCAATTCTATAGCTGGGACTCTTCTGTCATATTCTAGTACTAGAAAAGTAATGCTGCCAGAGAGCACATGCCTCACATAAGACATTAAAATCATTTACTTTCAACAAATGCTTCAAAGATGACAAACTCTAAAGTCCCAGACATCCAAACCAGCAACTTTACTCTGCTTTCCCAAATTCCTCTGTGGTTTCAACTAGATTAAACATCTTTTCTCACACTTCCTGTCCCATAATAAGTTATATAAGATTGCTGTGGTGATATGAAGCAGCTGTTGCATTTCACCAAAGGGACTGTTAATCTTAGAATAGGGTAAAGTATCATCTATGGAAATCATAAGAAGGTACAGTTAGGGTAGTTTAAGATCACAACTACTGAGTTCTCTATTTCTAGTCCCTTACTATGACTTTTATTTTACTTCTTAGATTTTAAATGTGGGAAGGGGCTAGGATGTCACATGAGTGTGGGAAGCCCAGAATAGTAATAGTCATGTGTCCCTTAACATCCACGATACGTTCTGTGATACAGGACCTTATGTGATTTGGATGCTGTGGGAACACCGTATTATGGATGACGGTCCTTTCAGGCATTCGCTTCCAGAATAAGGAGCTTTCATCCATACTAAAAATTTGCTGGGGCAAATAACCTCCCTCTACAATTAGCTTATCTAAATTTCAACAAATTCTGCTGCTGCTTTTGCAACAGCACTCAACAGACTCACCACTCACTTTCACATTATGCAACGAAAACGTTTGAAGCACTTGAACCACCCAGAGCTAGCACTAAACTCAGTATCTTAGTCTAGTCTTGCTTTTTCTTTAAGCATCTCGAACAAGCTTCGTGCCTTAGCAACAGGGATCGTCAATGTGATGAGAGGGATTCACTTTTACGTTTGGTCTTCAATCTACGTCATTAGCAATTTCTCCACACCTGATATAGTCCCTCTTGCATTTTCATTAGCCTTACAGCTTTCAGTGGAGCCGATCCTTTAATAGCTTGGAGAATTTTCTGTTTTTGAGGATCGTCATGATTATCAAGTGCGACATGCCTAAATCCGCTATGTCCCGTTCTCTGATTGGGATTTCTGAACTCTATTATAACCTTATGAGACCAGGGACATGCATGCAGTCAGACGTCGCCCAAATGGACGTTATGCAGCACATGACTGTACTATTAGAGTATTTTTGGGAAAAACTCACAAAATACGTTTTGGTTCTCTTCAGATGAAAGCCACTCTGGACATGTGATATAGGGAAAACAAAGCCATTGCTGTTGAGTCGATTCTGACTCATAGGGACCCTACAGAACAGAGTAGAACTGCCCCATAGAGTTTCCAAGGAGCACCTGGTGGATCCGAACTACTAGACCTTTTGGTTAGCAGCTGTAGCACTTAACCACTACACCACCAGGGTTTCCATGTGATACAGATATCAGTGCAAATGAAAGGACTCTTTGATTTGCCTTTTAATTTGTATTGTAATGTCTGGGTTCTTATTCACTTCTTTTCCAGTTCCACAATTTCTGTATTCATGTGACTAATTCCAGACCTCACACGATACAGAAGTTACACCAAAGGGTCCTTGCTTCCTCTTTACCATCTGAGTTATGCAAATAACCACAACAGTTAGAACTTGAGTAATTCTGTTAGGGAGAGGATTCCATCTAAATCCTGAGTCTAGGCCACCTAAAATTCTGTGCGATAAATGGCACTGACATTCTGGTATAACTTACCTCCCCTACCAAGAAAATCTTCAAATCTATTCCTGAAAGGAAAACTCAAAATGAAGATTACACCTTGTAAAATGCGTCACTTAAATTCTTATAGGCACAGATTTCCCAGGTTTAATTTTGCAACAAGAGCTCATCCGTGGCACTCATGTGCTATGGATAAGCTCTCAGAACCAAAGATGAAGCATGGATAGTTAAAACAAGCATTGCTTTTTTCTACTTTTTCCGTTACAAAGTCTGCGACATTTATCACTTTGTGATGCAATGCGATGCAACACAAAGCAACGTGGTTAACAACAATTAGCATCGAGTCCATTATTTAAAAAAAAACAAAACTAAAACTTCCCTGATTTGTGAGCAAAACTGAGACAACTCCTATCTCCAAAATAAAAAGACTGTACACCATCATACCACAGGTTCAGAAGTATTTGTCTTTTTCGATTCAGCCAATTCAATAAATAGAAACATGAATTTTATCAGACGAGAGAGGAAGTGAGCAATGTCAGTTCTGGTTTTTAAAAGAGTTTCTTAACCAAGGCTGAATACAATGCAAGGAGAACTATCAAGACACTTTACAGTTTACATATATGAACTGCCCCACCTTCACGCACCTGAAATGTGTCCACAACTCGATGAAGGAACTCAATGACAAACAGAGGTGGGACCTCCGTCTGGATCACGGCCACAAAGAAGATCTTGTGGCGGTAAACACTTAAGAGATAGTGGTGAGGGGTCGGGATAACTGGAGGTACATTTTCTGCCTCAGTAGCTCTCTCTTGTGCCTCAAAGAAATAATCACAAACAGAACGGCTGACCACACTTTTCCAATGTTTCTCCAAGAAAATATCCCCGGAAGAGTTGATCAAGAAAAGGCTATGAATCATGGTGGAGGTTATCAATGAGAGAGGAAAGTGTTTTTCAGTGTGAAAGCCTCGGGACTCTGCAAGATTTCAACCCTAAAAACAAAAGAAGCTATGTTCAGTTCCATTCAACCAAAACACCCTCCCCATCTTTTCCAGCAGTCTGGTCTTACCCATCTTTCAAGACTAGGCTCAAGTCCTCCTCGACTGCTTGAGCCTGAAGTATCTCTCCCTTGAATTCTTGTAATTATGAGTCATCTAGTATGTCAATCCATCATATACTGACAAGTTATCTTTATTATTGTCTGAATGTATCCACTTAAAAATACTACTTAATTGTTTAGATGTTTATTCTCTCAACTGGACTGGAATCTCCTTGAGGAAAGGACTATGCCTCACAGTTCTTGTGGTCTCACTGCACCGTGCCTCCTTACATACAGGAAGGCTTCCAAGAATGTTGATGAATCTGATTTCATGTATCTGGCCACAACTCACACATATACAAGAAATGTTTATGGTTGTGCAGTCCAAAATGGTAGCCACTAGCCACTTAAGGCCACTGACCAGTTGAAACATGGCTGGTCCAACTGAGACATGCTGTAAGTATAACCAGATATTGAAGGCTTTGTACAAAAAAATTTTTTTTAAATATCTCACTAATACTTTAATATTGATAACATGTTGTAATAATGTTTTGGATATGTTGGGTTAAATAAAATATATTTAACCTGTTTTACTTTTAAAATTAATATGGCTACTAGAAAATACAGAATTACCTAAGCGGTTTGCTTTATATTTCTACTGGAAATAGAAATACAGAAATTGGTCTATATGTAAATATATAGAAACTTCATTGTGGGCTTTATTTATTCAGTCAGACCCCATTCATTCTCTGAGCACTTATGCACAAGGCTTCGTGCTGGATGCCTTTTAAAAATCCATCCCGCCAGCGGCGACAGCGTCTCTGCGGTGCCAGTCCCAGCAAGGGGGCGGCCACGCTGAACCCCAGCTGTATCCATTCTTCAAACTGGCTGCGAACTGGTCAAAACGCAAAGGCCTGTTGTACCAAATGCAGCAAGGCGAGCTTAATCCCTTGGAGGAGACAGCAGGAGGGAGGGAAAGCGGAAGGTAGGTAGGATGTGGAGGAGGCGAAGCAGATGCCCAAGTGGGTTATTTCTGCGCTGGTCTCAGCCGAGCTTCCAGCGAACCAGGGATGATGGAGGCCATTTGGGGCGGGGGTGGTAGGGGGCGGAATCAAAGTGCGCGCACGTTCGGGGGCGCTGAAAAGGGTCGGAGCGCCCGGACCAGGCCAGTTTGCACATGTGTTGCCATGACAACAGTGTCCCCTCCTCCCCCAGCAATGCGGCCGAAGCGGGCCACCTCTCTGAGCCCCTTACTCGGTCCCTGACGTCTTCCCTCCGCATCCCGCAGCTCAGAGGGTCGATCTGCCAACATCCAGTGACCCTGACGCGCCCCGCGCGCCCTCGCCCACGCCCCCTCCCCGGACCCCGCGCGCCCCCTCAGCTCCCGCCTCCAGCCGGCTGCGAGCACGCGCCGCCCCCGACTCGGCCTGGGGTCGCCAGTCCCTCACCCGGCCTCGCTCCTCAGCGCCCACCGCTCTGACGCGCGGACAGGCTCCACCCCGCCTGGCTGCCCGCAGTCTGTGAACGCCAGCAGCCGCCCGCCCGTTGATTGGCCGGCCTGCGTGCACGCGCCGCCCGCGACCGAAGACTGAAGGTCGCTGATTGGGTGTCGGTGATCTGCTCCTCCTCTCTGATTGATTGCTGACCGAGGCTCACCCGGTTCTCCAGCTCGAGCCCCCAATTGGCCCTTGTTGACGTTCTGGTGATCTCTGATTGGTGCAGCCCCGTAGCTTCCGAGCCCTGATTGGCGGCTGACGACGGTTTGCAGGCTGCCCCAGTCACCCAGTCACAAAAGGCTGGGCGGCCACAGCTGGCACCTGCGTGACCGCGGAATGCTCTTCTAGAGGAGTGCTGCCCGAGGAGCCCAAAAGTGTGTGTGTGTGTGTGTGTGTGTGTGTGTGTGTGTGTGTGTGTGTGTGTGTGTGTGTGTGTGTGTGTGTGTGCGCGCGTGAACTTCCAGTGCATGATTTATCTAGTAGCCCATCATGAGCAGTGACAGCTACCCTCCATTAGATAAGTCCATGTAAAAATAGGGCCTTTTCTTTTGTATGCTGGGCATTGTGTAAAATACAGGTGATTGGCTCTATGGTGTCTTATGGAGAGCTCTGGACCAGAACTCAGGAGGCCCCTTCCAGCCCCAGTTGGACTACTGCCTGCTTGACCTTGGGCAAGGCATTTCACCTTTTAGAATCTCAGTTCCCTCATCAGAAAATGAAGGGATTGGACTAGTCTCTCTCCAAATTGCCTTGAAGCTCTACATGGCTATGGTACTACCATTTTTGGTATAAATGGTTCAAGTCATTGTAGTCCAGAAAAACATGGAGTAGAAGAGGACAAGGTTCAACTTCTGTAAATCTAAAAATTAGGAGATAAATGAGATGAAGCGTAGAAAGTGGCCTCGTGCCTGGCACATTGTAAGTGCTCAATAAAATGGCAAACTGTGGTGATGATGGTAATGATGTCCACCTAGAAGAGAGTCTAGCCCTCTCTGGCCTTTAGTTTCCACTCTGGTGAAACGAAGCAACATTGGCCACTCCTCCATACACAGGAACATGATACATGTTTGTTGAAAGTGGTCCAACCATAGTCTCGGGGGTCAGCTTAGTCAATTGGCATAACATAGTTCATAAAGATAATGCTCTACATCCAAGTTTGGTGAGTAGTATCTGGGGTTTTAAAAGCTTGTGAGCAGCCATCTAAGATAAAACTATAAATGTGGAGCAAAACAATGAAGGAAACCAAACGTTCAAAGAAGAAACTAGTCCACAGGACTAATAGCCCACATAAACCATGACCTCTTTTAAACTGAGACCAGAAGAACTAGATGGTGCCTGGCTACCACTACTGACCGTTCTGACCGGGACACAATACGAGGTCCTGGATAGAATGGGAGAAAAATGTAGAATGAAATTCAAATTTCTAAAAAAGTCCAGACCTACTGGACCAGTAGATGTTAGAGGAATCCCTGAGACTATTGGCCTTTGAACTTGGAACTGAAGCTATTTCTATAGGTTACCTTTCAGCTTATAAAATAAACAATACCAACCCATGAGTAATGTGCTCCTGTAAACAATCAACTATATGAGACCAAATGGTTAACGTTTACCCAGAATCAAAGATGAGAAGGCAAGGAGGGGAAGAGAAGCTAGATCAATGGAAACAGAACAAACAGAATGGAAATAATGAGAATGCTGACACATTGTGAAAACTGTAACCAATGTCATGGAAAATTTGTATAAAAACTATTAAATGGGAACCTAACTTGCTGTGTAAATTTTCACCTAAAACACAGTAAAATATTATTTTAAAAAAATGGTCTGATAACTTTGGTGAAGGGCAAGACAGTACACAATACTGGGGAACTCAGCACAACTTGACCAAGGCAAGGTCATGGGAGCTTCATAGATACATCCAAACTCCCTGAGGGACCGAATTACTGGGCTCAGGGCTGGGGACCATGGTCTCGGGGGACATCTAGCTCAACTGGCATATTGGTTTATAAATGAAATGTTCTACATCCTGCTTTGGTGAGTAGTGTCTGGGGTCTTAAAAGCTTGTGAGCAGCCATCTAAGACCCTCCACTGGTCCCACCCCATCTGGAGCAAGGGAGAATGAAGAAAACCTAAGACACAAGGGAAAGAATAGTCCAAAGGACTCATGGACCATAGGTACCACACCCTCTACCAGACTGAGTCCAGCACGACTAGATGGTACCTGGCTACCACCACCAACTGTCCTGACTGGGATCACAATAGGGGGTCCCGGACAGAGCTGGAGAAAAATGTAGAACATAATTCTAACTTACAAAAAAGAGACCAGACTTATTGGTCTGACAGAGACTAGAGAAACCCCGAGAATACGGCTTCCAGACACACTTTTAACTCAGTACTGAAGTCACTCCTGAGGTTCGCCCTTCAGCCAAAGAGTAGACAGACACATAAAACAAAGCAAAACTAAATGGGCACACCAGCTCAGGGACAAGGACTAGAAGGCAGGAGGGGATAGGAAAGCTAGTAATGGGGAACCCAAGGTCAAGAAAGGGAGAGTGTTGACATGTGAGGTTGGCAACCAAAGTCACAAAACAATACGTGTATTAGTTGTTTAATGAGAAACTAATTTGTTCTGTAAACCTTCCACTAAAGTACAAAAAAAAAAAGGTCTGAATTGTTCCTTGCCATTTGCAGTCTCCTTCATAGAGATTTATAGCCTTGGAAACCCTCTGGGGTTGCTATGAGTCGGAATCAACTCGACGGCAGTGGGTTTTTGGTTGGATTTTATACGTGGTAAGGGCAGACAGTTTGCCAGTTTTGAACTAAATAAAGAAGAAAATCCAAAAGCAAAATGACAGTATGTGTGGCATCATACAAGCTTAGAGGCTTTGGTGCCAGACTGCCGGGGTTTGAATACTGCTCCAAGCTCCAACACTTTACCAGTTGTGACCTTGAGAAAGTGTCTTAACTTATCTAAACCTCATTTTTCTCATTTCTCAAATAAGGACACTAATAGAACCTACTTCATAGAGGTGTTGTGAGAATTGAGTTAGGTAAGTGTTGGTTATGAATTGAATTGTGGCCCCCCCCAAAAAAAAAACGTGCATCAACTTGGCTAGTCCGTTATTCCCAGTATTGTGTGATTGTCCATCATTTTGTCATCTGATGTGATTTTTCTATGTGATGTAAATCCTACCTCTACGATGTTAATGAGGCAGGACTAGAGGTAGTTATGTTAATGAAGCAAGACTCAATCTACAAGATTAGGTTGTATCTTAAGGCAATCTCTTTTGAGATATAAAAAAGAGAAGCAAGCAGAGAGACAGGGGAATCTCATTCCACCAAGAATGAAGAACCAGGAGGGAAGCATGTCCTTTGGACTCAGGGTCCCTGTGCTGAGAAGCTCCTAGACCAGGGGAAGATTGATGACAAGGACCTTTCCCCAGAACTGACAGAGAGAGAAAGCCTTCCCCTATAGCTGGTGCCCTAAATTCGGACTTCTAGCCTCCTAAACTGTGAGAGAATAAACTTCTGTTTGTTAAAGCCATCCACTTGTGGTATTTCTGTTATAGCACCACTAGATAACTAAGACAGTGTTGCTGTTGTTGTTAGGTGAGGTCAAGTCAACTCCGACTCATAGCGACCCTATGTATAACAGAACAAAATATTGCTAGGTCCTGTGCCATCCTCACAATAGGAGCTATGTTTGCACCCATTGTTGCAGCCAGTGTGTCAATCCATCTTGTTAAGGGCCTTCCTTTTTCTGGCCGACCCTTTTCTTTAGCAAGGAGCCTTGGTGGTGTAGTGGTTAAGAGCCCGGCTGCTAACCAAAAGGTCGACAGTTCGAACCACCAGCTGTTCTACAGGAGAAAGATGTAGCAATCTTCTTCTGTAAAGATTTACAGCCTTGGAAACCCTATGGGGCAGTTCCAGTTTGTCCTATAGGGTCACTATGACTCAGAATCAACTCGAGAGCAATGGGTTTGGTTTGGTGGTTTACTTTACCAAGCATGATGTTTTTGTCCAGGGATTGGTTCCTCCCTGATAACATGTCCAAAGTAAGTGAGATGAAATTACACTATCCTCACTTCTAAGGAGCATTCTGGCTGTAGCTCCTCCAAGACAGATTTGTTTGTTCTTCTTGCAGTCCATGCTATAGGCAATATTTTTCACCAACACCATAATTCAAATGCATCAATTCTTCTTCAGTCTTTCTTTTTCATCGTCCAGCTTTCACTTGCATATGAGGCAATTGAAAATATCATGGCTTGGGTCAGGTGCATCTTAGTCATCAGAGTGACATCTTTGCTTTGTAAGATTTTAAAGAGGTCTTTTACAGCAGATTCGCCCATCATTTGATTTCTTGACTACTGCTTCCAGGGGCATTGATTGTTGATCCAAGTAAAATGAAATCCTTGACAATTTCAATCTTTTCTTTGTTTATCATGATGTTGCTTATTGGTGCAGTTGTGAGGACTTTTGTTTTCTTTATGCTGAGGTGCAATCCATACCGAAGGCTATAGTCTTTGATCGTCATCAAGTCATTTTCAGCAAGCAAGGTTGTGTCATCCACATATCACAGGTTGTTAATGAGTCTTCCTCCAATCCTGATGCCATGTTCTTCTTCATATAGTCCAGCTTCTTGGATTACTTGCTTAGCGTACAGATTGAATAAGTATGGTGAAAGGAAACAATTATGCCGTACACTTTTTCCAGTTTCAAACCATGCAGTATCCCCTTGTTCTATTCAAACGACTTCCTCTTGAACTTAAGTGTTAGCTATTATTATTACCTAAAAAGCAGCACAAGATACAATTATGCATGCTTACTAAGCAATGTGTGTCTTAGGTGCAGAGATGCAATCAGTGCTGTGGACATTTCTCATTCATTCGTTGAATAAACATTTACTGAGGACCTCCCATATATCAAGCCCTGTGCTGGTGCTGGGGATGCTGCAATGACTATCACAGGCATAGTCCCTGTGGTTACAAACTCTAGT